GGCTGAGCCTTGGCTCCCGCTCCGGCGGCCCTTCCCGCCTGCGGAACGCGCTGGCACGTGCGCTCGCCGGCGCGCCCCACTCCGTCTTGTGCTTGTGGCCGGACTTCTCCAGACACCGGCGTTCTGGATAAGTATTGCTGCTTATTACACTTAAGCTTAGAGTTATTAATTGTATCTGTATAATTTATATCATAGTGAACATCTGTAATGCATGTTGCCAAATACTAATACGCCATACTTGCCAACTGTGCCTGTTTGAGGGCTTTTCTTCCCCACTTCCCAGAAGTTTTAAATTAAAACCGATTCAGCCTTGCAATGTTATTGATCACACAAGAAGTGGAGGCTCCCAGGGAAATGTTTTTTTTATTTTTTATTTTTTAAAATGTGTGTGCATAGGGAGGGCACTCTATGGACAGCTAGTACTTGAAGATGTTTGGTATATTCAAATTCCCTTCCCACTCACAAATCCCTAATTGGCCAGTGTTCGGCTTAGTCTTTTGCTCCTATGTTGCCACCCTCTTTTCCTTTCTTCCTTTTACACATTGCCCTTCTCTTCCATCTTCCCTTTTCTCAATCACTGCATTCTCTATTAAATCAAAGCAGCTTCTTCAATGAAGAGAACTTGATGTGTTTTTTAAGTGCCTTGAGCTCATCAGTGGAGGTGGGAGCTGGTGAGCCTAATTCTTGGGCAGGGAAGATAAAACTTTCAGAAGCTGTGCAATTTCTTGAAGGCCATGGGGAAGAGGGAGGCAGAAGTTCTGATTTGCATTTTGGATTACAGCCGTGGACTGTTCTTTATCTGCCTTAAAAACTCTGCTTCCTCTTTCACCTCCTTCCTTTCCTCCCCTCAGCTGTGAGCTCTCTTGCTGCTCAGAGGTCATGCAGGTGACATAAGGGATTTTTGCTGTCCCTTGGTATTCAGTCCCTTCTGCCAGGTTGTTTATTCCACCCTAGACTGCTTATGGAGGGTTGTCTGTTACCTCATGGAAGCCAGCAGGGAAAAGCTTGATCTCCTTGACGGTTGCTGAAGTGGAGAGATAGAAATGTCCTTTGAAATCCCTTCCAGGATGTGTTTATTTTGCACGCTCCCAAAAGCTGCAGAGGACAAAATGAGTGGAACATCATCCTTCCTTTTTGAAGGATGTTTGCAAGAGGATGAATTAGGAGTAGATTTGACTCTATTGGAAAAATATTCTGCATATGACTTATTTTTTTTCCCCTTTGTCTGACTCTGAGGCAGAACTGATCAGGGACAGGACGAAAGTTAATGGCTAATATAAGGATTCAATTTATGATCCAGAACTGCATCCTCAAGGGTTAAGCCTTGAGGTGGTATCTGGCAAAGCTGGAACTGCAGACCTGCTATGCCAGGTCCCTTGGGTCCCCTCTCTCTATTGCTGCTCGTTGGTCAGAGGATTGCAGGAGTCTAATGCTCAGAATCGGGACTTGCGTAACTAAATTGGTGGCATGCACTCTGCAAATGCACTCCGAAGGCTCTCTCCAGACTGGCTAATCTGTGAGGCATGTGGCTTTCCAAGGAGAGTGCTGTGATGCGAGAAGGCTGGGAAAGGAACATTTCCAAACTGTGTCGTTAATTAATGCGGTGGGAGACCTTATCTCCAGGAGAAGTGCTAGGATTAGTTTGCTGCTATTTTCTACTAGACACTGTGCAAGTCTATCCCCATATCATCTTCAGAAGCCCTGAATCCAAATTAGCATTGTGAGTGTCTTCTATGTGCCATGCTAAAAGCAACTGGGTAGTAGGTGTGGAAGCAGAGGTAGATCAGATCAAAGAACCCTTTCTGAAAGATGCTACTTGTGACTAAAAGCAACTGGGTAGTAGGTGTGGAGGCCGAGGTAGATCGAAGAACCCTTCCTGAAAGATGCTACACGTGGTCTCGAGAGGCTGTGCTCAGGGCTCCACGCCGTCTGGTCGGGTGGCATGTCTGCTTGCACTGATGCTTTGCTCAAGACCTTGCAGCAGATGGAAATTCCACTTGTGGGCAGCAGCTGTACTGGCCAGGTCTGTGTCTCTGGGGAGTAGGTATGAGCTGTGGGATGGTTTGCTCCAGCCTGGGGAAGGTTACCTGGCAGCTGCTGCTCAGGGATCCCCCAGGCAGCACAGGGTTCCTTCTGCAGTGGTGAAGCACAGCCATGAGTGATGTTTCCCTGTTAGGAAGTTTGGCTGCCTTAATGGGCCAGCCAAAAACACTTTGGTGTGCCCATCTGCCACCATGGATTCTCCTGGCAAAATAAGGCTTGGAGACCGTTTGTATCTCTTGAGGGCAAGCAGCCCTATTGCCCCTGGCAGCCTGGTGTGACCATCCTTGCTCTGTGACTTTGGGAGCTTAGGCTAGCATGTCTGTTAGTGCATGGGCAGCGCAAGGCAAGCTGCAGGCTGCAGCATCCCCACGCTCTCACTGCCACGTGCTGCTCCCTGCCCGAGCTCGGAGAGGGTCTGGCCCTGCCGTGTGCCCCTCCGAGCAGGTCAGCGTTGTGGGACGTGCCTCCAATGGGGCTGTGCCCCTTGGCCCTGTGCTGAATTTGCGGCCCACCCGTGGTGCTCGTGCTGCGGTGAACATCCGTCTGCAGACAGCGGCGCCCCAGGACGCCCCTCGGCAGCGCTTCCCACCGAGCGTTGTTTATTCCATCCTTTATCATCCAGAGCTGCTGGGCCCCCTGAGTTATTAGCTTTATTCGCTTGTTGTCAGTGTTTCCTCCTTCGTAAATATGTCCCCGCGCGTCTCTGCTCCTGAGGAATATGCGTTCTCTTCTATTTACTGCTTTTCTCAGGCCCCCACTTTCTCATCACTCTCTCCACCCAGTGGCCCAATAACAGCCAAGGAGATAAATAAGCTACATAACTCTTCCCAGCTATTATTTTTTGCTGTTGTTGTTGCCCTGTGTGGTAATATATATAATAACAAGGAAACAAATCTTATTACTAAAGTAATTACAATAAATAAAAAGCCGAGAGGGGAGATGAAGGGTCTGTTGGGGGAGTGATTGCAAGCAGGATTTTT